TTTCAAAAATATAGTGAACAAACAAATAACGTATAAAGTAGATCATGAAAACTTATGTGATGATGTAATAATTGTAGAAACAATTAAGTAAAATTTCAAATAATTAGGATGGAACATTCTAAGTACCTTCAAGTTTGTCCAGTCTATTTTTTTTTTATTTATAGAGAAAACCAAATGAAAATTTAAAATTTCTTAATTGAAGAAGTTGTACTAGTTGTACTAGTATTTCATGCGTAGTATAAGCCCTCACAAGTTCTAAAGTGATGTATAGAGTTCATGTTTGGTGTTTGTACTATAACAATAACTAGATTTTGACCCGCGCTTAAAAGCGCGGAAATTTTTTATGATTAAAAATTTATATAATTGGGTTTTGTCATAATTTAAATAATATTTTGATATAAAATAAGTTCACCAAAATTTGTGGTGATGATTGTTTTTCATTAGTTTTTAGTATTAGTTTTTATTTTTAGATTTTGGATTTTGGATTTTAGTTTTTAAATTTCTACTTTTCATTTTCAGTTTTTAGTTTGGGTTTTTAATTTTTAAACCCGCTGAGTTAGTTTGAACAAATATTACCAACAAACAAATCTCAAATAATCGAACATCTAATTTAAAACTGAAAAGATGAAAACAAATTTTTTAAAAAAAAATTGAAATAGTTTATTTTGTAAATAAACAAAGCAAAAAAATATAATATGTGTTTTCAGCTTTTGGTTTTGGATTTTAGTTTTTAGATTTGGTTTTTGGTTTTGCTTTACATTTTTTTAATCAGTAAATTATTTAAGAAAATAAAACAATAAATTATTTAAAAGTTACCATTGAAATTTATCAAAACAAAGTGATTGTTATTTAAAATAAAAAAATATATTAACATGTTTTAAAGTACATGATTTAAATAAATGTTTAATAATGGATAATTTTTTTTAGTTAAAAATATTAAATATCTTTTGGGTCTGAAGATAATAATTGATTTTTTGATCTTTTAAGGTGAAAAGTTTATTCAATGTTTTTGGAGTTTTTTTCTTAATACTAAGCCCAAAAACCAAACTATATAATTTGTTCAAAAAATAAAAGTTAATCCAATATTCCATAAATAACCACTGGTTTAATTTAAATATAATTAGTAGATTTCCATATTCCATATTTTGATGATATATATTCTTTTAGAAGATTCCATATTTGGAGGAGAAAATATGTGTTTTTGGTATACACATAGATATCTGCCGTATTTTGAAGGTAGTTTACATTAAGATCGTCTTTTTACATTAATTTTGTTGGTTTAATTTAAGTAATACGGTTTAATCAATTATATGAATTATATTGTTTGTAACATTCTAGAAAGAGTCCAAAATTAAATGACAACTTGTATCAGTAGATAAAAAGAATGACTCTATTTTAATAGAGTAGATAGTCTACCTTGTGCACTTGGTTTAACTATGATAGTAGTACCAATGTTTCAGTATTAAAAATAACAAACAAATATTAGTTTATTTTTTGTATTTTATTTCAAATAGCTTTTTATTTTTATTTTTTGCAAATAGCCAAGTCATGTCAGATTATCATTACACTTCTCACCCCCCCCAACATATATTATATTTATATGGACATAAGAATAAAATATGAAATAAAGCACGTATACAATAAGAACATAGTAAAATTTACATATTTTGATATGAAGAGGTGGCATACCAATGATATTATATACAATTTTATATACGCATTACACATACTTGGAAAATATTTTAATGTTATTAATAGAAATATACCTCCATCAAGAAAATGGAAGCCTAAAGACAAAAAAGCTAGATAAATATGATTGGTATAAATAGTAGTACTAGTATAACTACGAGAAAAATATGTATGACTGGTTTAACCNAGAGGTGGCATACCAATGATATTATATACAATTTTATATACGCATTACACATACTTGGAAAATATTTTAATGTTATTAATAGAAATATACCTCCATCAAGAAAATGGAAGCCTAAAGACAAAAAAGCTAGATAAATATGATTGGTATAAATAGTAGTACTAGTATAACTACGAGAAAAATATGTATGACTGGTTTAACCAGTACAACTATATTCTTTTAATAACAAGTAGTTATACCAAATTTTGGGTTGTACAAGTTTGTACATAGTTGTACTTGAGCAATGAAATTGAAAAACTTAGTTGTACCACATAACATATAAATATACCCCAGTTGTACTACTTCCATATGTTTACCTATCTAATGTCACATATAATCAAATCATTGATTTTGTTAAAATGCATTCAATATAGGTTTTTAAAAATATAGTAGACAAACAAGTAAACAAACCTTTAAAGAATAAGGTGAAACATGGAAACTTATGAGATAGTGTAATAATTATAAAAAAAATATTAAAAATAAAATAGTTAAGAGACCATTTTTAGGAATTTAGTAATATATACATATATAAAATATAACGTTTTATTTTTTTAAACATTTCCATTTTTATATATGTTATTTGAAAACCAATTTAACAGAAAAAAAACTAAAGGATTTAGTTTTTAAATTGTACCATATTGAATATGGATGTTCATTGTCTATGAAATTAAAGCACTTAGTTGTACCATGAAAAAAAAAAGGCATTAGTTTTATCACCTTTTTCATGTTTATATTGTGTCAAACATATTTTGGAATCATAAATTTTGTAAAAATAGGTTTGATTTATATTATTCCGAAATACTGTGACTAAACAAGTAAACAAACCTTAAAATATAGATATATCATGTAATATTATGTGGTTGTGTAATAATTTTGCAAAAAAAAAATGCAAAACTTCAAATACATTAAAATAAATTTTATGATCATATATTAGATTGGATATTCGATTATTTTCTTAAATGGAATACTAAACTAGTTTCTTAATTTCTCAAATGTCAAAGTTTTACCAGTTGTACTAGTAATAGCAAGATGATATGTCAACTATCATGTTTATAACATGAAGCACAATTAAGATTTTCATGTTTTAAACGTGATGCAAAATTCAAAAGTAATAATACATAGTTGTATCAATTGTTTGAGTTGTACTATTGTGTACATAGTTGTACCGAGTTTTAGGTTGTACAAGTTTGTGCATAGTTGTATTTTGACAGAAAATTTGAAAAACTTAGTTATACCACATAAATAATAAATATATCTCAGTTGTACTATTTCTATATGTTTACCTACCTGGTATCACATATTATGAAATCATTACTTGTGTAAAAATACATTTGGTGTCTGTTTTTTGAAAATATGGTGGACAAAAAAATAAACAAATCCTTAAAGTATAAGGTAGATCATGTGAACTTAAAGGTATTTAGCCATCAAAAGAGAAAAAAAAAAGAGATTTTTTAGTTTCAAGCCGATGGCCGGAGGCTTCTATAGCTCCGACATCGGCTTGTTTAATTTTTCTTATTTCTATTTCTTTGATTTGTTATGGTCTTCTAGTTTGTTTGATTGCCAATTTATTTTGAATCTGGCAAAATTTTGAATTGTTCTTCTGTATGGTTTTTCCAATGGATTTGGAATGGAAAAAACTTCGGTTCAATTGAATCGTTTAAAAAAGGTAATTGACAGATCTACTGCGGATGGTGGCGACGGGTCTTACCGGCTTCAATCGTTGATGGTTCTTCACTTGATGGTGATGGTTTTTTTGTTGCAAACTATGATTATTTCGAAAGACAGCATGAAATTCTATGGAACGGTAATCTCTTTGGCTCTGTTATTATCAATAGAGAAATATAAAGAGTTGTCTTCTCTCGTTGGCTCCTATTGGAGTAATAAAAAGAGAGTAACAATCGTTCTCAACTAAGTCTGAAGCGTGGTGTTTCTGGATTAATATGAAGATTATCTCCTACGAGATTCATCTATTTCAGAAGCAAATATGAAGCTTTCACATGGAAATTTTTATTCATCCATACACTAATAGATGTGTTAATTTACTTTGGATCCCTACTGGTGTATCCCTTTTCTATATTGTTTTTGCCAATTCTCATTGTGTAAAACTATTTGCCTAAATGGCTTAATAATACAATCCAGCGTTAAAAAAAAAAGATCATGTGAACTTATGTGATAATATAATAATTGCCAAAAAATTGGTAAAGAATCCAAAAAATTAGGAAGGAAAATTCTAACCAGTTACTAATTTAGACAATTCATAGTTAGTTTCATATGGGAAACCTAATGGAGTTCTTAAATTTATAAATTAACATAGTTGTATCAGTGATACGAGTATTACATGATTCGTCTATACCAAGTTGTTCCAGTTTACATGTCTGATATAAAAGAATTGTACTAACTATATCAATATTACATGTTTGATATACAACATGGCCCCTTATGATATTACTAATGAAAAATAACTCAATGAAGTTTGGTTGCAGCTTCTTCATTTTCTTGATTATTCAAAATAATTCACCTTCTCATAACTTCTCTTCATCACTAAAAAGTAGAAATAATTTGGTATTTCTAATTCATCTCTTACATTTATATAACTTTCTTCATGATCAAAATGAATTATCACATCTCGATTATAATCTTAGTTTCTTGAAAAAAGTAAACATATTATCACTTAGTATTATACCAGTTGTATTAGTTTTACATGTTACAATAATGATAGATACACTAAATTTACATGTTACACTAGTTATATCAATTATAATAAGTAAAATATATGTTATTTTAAAATTTATTTTAATTTTTGAAGACATTTTATGATGCATACAATTTTAGCTCAATTTTTATCATTTTAGATTTTATTTAGATATGTATATTATATTTATATGTTGATTACATACAATAGGGTTTGTAGTGTATAATTAAAAAGTTTGGGGAGTAAATTAAAACAATATGTTAGAAGTAAAAGGTTTGGGCCATAATAATGAGAAGCAAACAATCTAAGGACCAAGAACACAAATAACAAAAAAATAGCCAGCTGCTTCGATTGTTCACTCGCCGTCGTTCAACCATGGTGAATTAAAACCAAAGATTAGCAGAATCGACGGCAAGGGTCTGCGGCAGTGATGGAGATGGCTTCGATAGAAGACCGAAGGCAGCATATCAGTGGCGGTTCAACTACAAATTTTTGAGGTGCTGCGTGTTTTCTTTCCATCGCCATCGAAGCTGAAAACGATATGTGTTACTGTCGCCGAGCATAGAAGCAGTTGGGACCGAAGGTGCTGTGTGTTGCCGTCGCCGTTACCATTGCTGTTGCCGTCGAGGTTGAAGCCAACAGATCTTCTTCTCCGTCGATGTTTATATATATATATATATTTTTTTTCATTTTATTAAGGGTGTAAATGTAAATTAACATGTTATTGGGTCATATAGATTGAAAGAGGTCATAAGAGAATACTTTTAGAGTGTTATGTCTCATAAGAGATTGGAGTCCTGGTAAATGGATGCTATTTAGAAAAAGTAATTAGTTTTTTTAGTTGATTTATCTTTGTCTTATAGGTTACAGGTAACTGTTGATCCACTCATTTCTTGCCATCTTTCTGATTGTTGCACTGAAAATTCCTTTCACAAAACTAACATAAACATCTATAAACATATCAACAGAATTGACAAATTATTTTACAGCACTATACATACCGAAACTCCCTCTGCTACATGTGACTTGAGAGGCCTAGTTTTGGATATCAACTTAGCTTGCCATTTTATAATCTCATTCAAAAGGTCCCACCCTTTTCTTTTTTTTTATTTGATTTTTTTGTTTGTTTCAATTTCTGAATTTGTTTAGGAAAATTTAAAATGAAAAGATCTGGTGTGGTTCTGGTTCTCTATATTATCTCTCAGACGGGAATATTACAACGTCATATGTTAACCGTTAAACTCTGGAATGACAGATATTCTGTCTTAATCTGAAAAGAATCTTCTTTAGTCAGGTTTATTTTTTTGTGCATTATCAGATTCTCTAGTCGAATAAGAATCACCCATTAGCTTTTTGAGGTTCCTCTTCTTTTGTTTTGGGTAGAGATAGGGGAATAATGAGTGCCACAAGCCCTTGACACAATATATGTCATTCCAGAGTTTAACGGTTAACCTATGACGTTGGGTAGAGATAGGGGAATAATCAGTTTGGTTTATTTCCTTAAGATCTAGTTCAGAACGGACATGTCAATTTTTTAAATCCTTCCGCAGTTGCACCACAAGCCAAAGTACAAAATTTGTAACATTCTTGAAATTCTATAGCCTCTGTCTCGACCAAAAGGCTCCCCATGAACATCACCACTAACATCGCGATTATTTTGTGCTCCATATTTTCTTGTGGGATAACAAAGATCTTTTTAGAAAGAATATTATCAAATTTGACTGAACGTGTTTGTTGATTATGAATGTTGGTTTGTGTAGGTTCTAGGGTTTGTATATATACATGTAGGGACTGTACATGTATCTTTGTGCTTACTATAGTTAACATTTCCATATTTGGTAATAATTCAGTACTAGATTTTGACCCGCCCTTTTCAAGGGCGGGTATATTTTTTTATTTAATTTTTCTATAGAATTTGCATAAATTTATTTGTTTTGAGTAGATATACCATCATATAAGTTTGTTTTTAGTATTGATGGTATTTATAAATTCAAAATATATAAAATTGTATAGATGTGTGCATTTATTTATTTTTGTTAATTTTAATTGTTAAAAATATATAAAAAATTGTTTTTTATTTGCGGCATGATATGCAAATATAGATGATAAAAAGGTATTTATCACATTTAATCGAATAACCTATTTAAAAACCGTTAAGCTAAATGGTGTTATATGCAAATATATATGATAAAAATGTATCATATCACATTTAATAAAAAAAAAGCAATCGAATCCATATTTTTAATAGTAAGCATTCTTGCATTAGTTACATAAATATATGTCTAACATTATGTAAAATACAAATTTAAATATAAACCATGAAATTTTGTATTACTTCTATAATTTAGAACTATAGACATCTTTTATTATATGTACTATTTATGTGTTCAAATGAAGGTCTAAATATAAAACAAAACCTTGCAGAAGCACAACTTGTATTTTCAGGAGGTCTATTTTCTGCTCGAAGAGTAAAACTGGGTTTCATGATTAATCAATAGATAATGGCTATATATAAGGAGGACGCGGATAATTTTTTATTAGTACCATTTAATAATCTATTTTATTAATTGTTTCACTGAGTCCCGAAATAAAAAGAATGTGGTAACTGCTTGGCTTTATAAATTGAACGTGGTTAGTGATCAAATAGTTAAAGTAGATTTAGTTATAAAATAATTAGTTTTTTTAAATGTAGGTCCAGTGGCAATTTAAGTAATATCTCAGGGTACATCAAGGGCAAAAGATAGTGATGATTCTGTTTTAATAAAATTGATACATGAATTTTTATTGTGAATATAAAATCGATAATATAGTTTAGGTTATATTTATAAGAAATGTATATGTAGATATATTATTAATTTATGATTTTAATGAGACCATATATTTACATAAGACTTTCTAAAAAGTTATTATCTTATTATTTTATCGATTTATGTCATATTTTGAACCGGCCCAACTCGGAACCGAGAAAATGTATTAATTTATAGAGATTATTAATTCATCGACTATTAATTTATAGAGGTTCTACTGTATTTCAATCTCAATTGTAGACCATTACATAAATAATTTATTTTGTATACTTCAAGATTTATATTTTTTTGTTTTTAAAAGAATTATACTATTATGATACTTGGTAATTCAAAAAGAAAAGTATTGTGATATGGGCAAATAGTTTTATATGTACACAATGAAGACACATGTCTTGTTAATTGGGCTAAATCCATTTGCAAACAATGAAGACATATAATTATAAAACATACACGAACTCTGATCCATGTGTAAAATATAAAACGATAAATACAACTGTTTAATATTCAGAAGGGAAACGTAACGGTTTATGTTAAAGAATAGATCGTGGTTGCTTTTAAATAGATTAGATGTAGTTATATAAAATCACTTTTTAAGTAGGTCCAATGGCAAAATAAGTAATATTCCAAGTAGTAATAAGGGCAAAAGTTAACAATGTTCCTGTTTTAATAAATTTGATTGATGATTGATGTGTTCTGTTATAATAATATAGTGGGTAATTAATTTAGTCGATTCACTTAGAATATGTGGATTTTTTTTCCTTACATATAGAATTTAGATATGGTTAGAATCTATTTTTATGATACGAAGTTATGCATGAACCTAACGTGTACATATTGTTTTTCATCAGTACTTCTTCATTTTACAATCATGAATGAACTTGTGGTGCTTTGCTTGTATTAGATATGTCATGTGTGTACACATAGCCATAGGTATGCATGTGTATACACATAGTCATAGGTATGTCATGACTAATTATGAAGATTAGTAACCATCCTTTCCTTGTTAAGTACGTACTCTTTATTGAGTGATTTGAGTTAATGGTTTCAGTTGATATGTTTATAACCAAAAAATACCAGACCAAATAATAAACTAATCATTTTATTTGAAAACTAACTAATACAATGCATTCTTATCTTTTAATTGAAATGTTANTTAGTAACCATCCTTTCCTTGTTAAGTACGTACTCTTTATTGAGTGATTTGAGTTAATGGTTTCAGTTGATATGTTTATAACCAAAAAATACCAGACCAAATAATAAACTAATCATTTTATTTGAAAACTAACTAATACAATGCATTCTTATCTTTTAATTGAAATGTTAATTTGAATAGTAGTAAAAGTATCACTTTTAGTTTTTGCTGGAACACTTAGTCGAACATGAATCAACACAGGCTGCGATTTTCTTCACATCTGTTCATAGCACAAACAACAAAAACCACAAAAACAAAAAGAGAAATAAATTATCAACTATTAGAATCAACACAATTATGTATTTAGATATCCAGATGCTAAAAGGAGATGTTACAAAATATGTTCTAATAAGATGGGACTTTTTACAGTTTTTCTTTTGCAATTAACCGCCAATCCACGTTATAGTAATCTTTTTACTTTGCACTAGTTACAAGTTTTAAAGTTGAAATTAGTATTCCTTTTTCTAGAAAATGTAATATACATAAAATTAAGGAAAATAGTTTTATTGCAACTTTAATAAATAAAATATAGGACAAATAATCTCGCAAATAGAACTTTTAAGTCTTTATCACAAAAATAAACCTCAAAACCTAAAATGACTAAAATAACATCTTTTATTTTTAAAATTTTAAGTTGTTTTTTAAAAAAAAAAATTTGAAATCCTAGTCCCAAAAATCTATTCTTCAACTCTAAACCTATTCTTCAACTCTAAATTAGTTAACACAAATAAATTAGTTAACACAAATGGTATAAATGTATATTTACTTATTTTTTATAAAACATTTAAGTATATTTTGGTCATTTTTATCACAAATAGACTTTAAAAATAACAAGCAACATATTCAAATACACATTAGTAAATTTCATAAATTTGAGGAATTTCGAAAAAAAGCAAACTTACTTGGGTGGGAGATGGAGATGGATCAGTAGGTGAAGTAGGAAAAAGACAGGCTTTAAGACATGTAAATGGACATTTAAGAAACGCTGGAAACTTGTGCATACTCTTGCACACTAGAAGACAAGGTGGATAACACTGAATAAAAGGGATTTTCTTATCCTCTTTTTGACCTAAAGAATTTGTTTGAGCCTTTGCTTGGTCTAAAAGGTTTCCCATCATCATAACTATCATTATTGTCACTAACATGGTAACTTTTCTGCTCTCCATTATTTTTTTNTACTATGATGTGTGTAATTCCATATTCACAGTATGGAGATATCTGTATTATTTGTTTCCAAAATCAAAATATTAGCATATATAAATATTTACAAATCTTTGTTTTAGCCGCCTTTAGAATTAGTGGATCATGGGCAATTTATTAAAATTTTCAACTAAATTTTTTTATTTTCTTACAAAGTTCAAGTTTATAATTTTTTTGTGTGTATACCTATGTAGTTTTAAAAAAAAAAATTGGGGGATCCAAGACTACTTTTTTATTCGGCTTTGTCCAGGATTGATAATTAGGTTTATCAAACACAGTTAACTTACATGCATGAATGTAATTGATTTGAGTTGTATATTGTGGATATAGTTTACTGAAATTACAAGTTCAATATTTAAAATAATATATACTATTATTAGAGAAGTAAATTTGGTTATTTATCATGTTTTCCATGATTTTAGACTGAATCGTTAGTTTTGATAAAAAAAAATTAATTATATTGATTAAATTTTTGATATCTTTAATAGATAATTATATAATTCGTTATTCAAATCATTAAAAATTAATATTATAAAAATTATCTTAAAATATATTTCTATTATTATTTGAAAAATGAATATACTTATTTGTTATGTTTTCCATGATTTTAGACTGATTCATTAGTTTTAATAAACAATTTTAATTACTGATTAAAGTTTTGATATCTTTAATAAAAAATATAATTCACTATTTAAATGATTATAAATTAGTATTTTGAAATTTATATAAAAAATATATATAAACATGTTTGAAAATAAGACAATTCCATGTATTAATTTTGTGTTTATCTACATCTTTATTTATTATCTGTTAATTTTTTTTTATAATTATTAGTCTATATACACATATACTAATTAGATTTATCATTGTACTAAAATATTTAAATAGTTTCACAAAAGAATAAAAAAATTGATTTATTTTTGTTGGTGAACGTAGTATGTCATGGTATATTTTTTAATGAAAATATTAAATTTCTTTTAGTAGTAAAATACCAAAAAGAAGTATAGAAGCAATAACAATAAATTTGATATATTTGTTTGCTAACTTGATTTTTTCGTGGTAATAAAATTTTCAACTAAGTTTTTTATTTTCTTACAAAGTTCAAGTTTATAATTTTTTTTGTGTATACCTATGTAGTTTTTTAAAAAAAAATTGGGGAATCCAAGACTACTTTTTCATTCGGCTTTGTCCAGGATTGATACTTAGGTTTATCAAACACAGTTTACTTACATGCATGAATGTAATTGATTTGAGTTGTATATTGTGTATATAGTTTACTGAAATTACAAGTTCAATATTTAAAATAATATATACTATTATTAAAGAAGTAAATTTGGTTATTTATCATGTTTTCCATGATTTTAGATTGAATCGTTAGTTTTGATAAAAAAAATTATTTATACTGATTAAATTTTTGATATCTTTAATAGATAACTATATAATTCGTTATTCAAATAATTAAAAATTAATATTATAACAATGAGCTCAAAATATATTTATATTATTATTAGAAAAATGAATATACTTATTTGTTATGTTTTCCATGATTTTAGACTGATTCATTAGTTTTAATAAACAAATTTAATTACTGATTAAAGTTTTGATATCTTTAATAAAAAATATAATTCATTATTTAAATGATTATAAATTAGTATTTTGAAATTTATATAAAAAATATATATAAACATGTTTGAAAAATAAGACAATTCCATGTATTAATTTTGTGTTTATCTACATCTTTATTTATTATCTGTTAATTTTTTATAATTCTTAGTCTATATACACATATAATAATTAGATTTATCATTCTACTAAAATATTTAAATAGTCTCACAAAAGAATTAAAAAAAAATGATTTATTTTTGTTGGTTAACGTAGTATGTCATGGTATATTTTTTTATGAAAATATTAAATTTATTTTAGTATTAAAATACCAAAAATAAGTATATAAGCAATAACAATAAATTTGATTTATTTGTTTGCTAACTTGATTTTTTCGTGGTATTTTCATTTTTGTTATTAATATTTAGTTTCAAAAATAAACGTTATTTATTGTTTAAGTTAAAAAATATTAATATTTTTTTCTAAAATATTTTTATTAGGAATGATATTATCTTTAATTTTTCATTCAAAATATCTGCCTCTAAAAGAGAATATTTTCAAAATATTAAATTTTTATTTATATCAAGTAAATTCTCTCTATTTACTTTTATTTTTTTCAAGGGGTTCACAGAAATACATTTCCTTGAATAAAATTTCCGTAAAAGAGGATTATGTAAAGAAAAATGTGATCTAATATTTTTTTGTAAAAACTATATTTCTCAAAATGATTTTTTTTTAGTTATAATTATTAAAGTTTGAAAGTTAAAGGACCATTGAAAATAAAATAAAATAAAATATGATTTTATAGGAAAATAGTAATCTCTGTTAAAATAAAAAACTATAGATTGACTATATCTTTTCTATATATTGTAACATTTAAAAATGAAAATAACATTAGATAGGAAATGTTCTTATCTTATTCATTACATAATTTGAATGTTTATTTAGTTATTATGAAAATTATTTCACAATATAATTATTAAAACAAGACAGGAGCTGCATTGAATGGCTGAACAAGCAGAAACAAGATCTGTCATATACATAATCATGGGAAGCCTTGCTCATATGGAAACTAGAGAAGTTTTGGAGATGGCGTGGGGGTTCTAATAGCAACCAACCATTCTTATGGGTCATCTGAAGCGGCTCCATCGTTGAGTCATTTCCAGACGAACTTTAGTAAGATGGTGTCGGAAAGAGGATATATTGTAAATTGGGCACCACAGATAGAAGTACTTTCAAAGTAAGATGGGAGGCTTCTGGAGCCACTGTGGATAGAACTCAACGCTCGAGAGCATTGCAGAGATCTAGTTGTTTATTTAGTTACTAGGATAAGACCCGCAACTTGCGTATGATAAATTTATATAAAAATTATTTAAAATATATTTTATGGAAAAATAAATCTATATTCTTTATTGAACTAATATTTTGGTCTTTAAACAACTTTTATAAAACTTTTTGTTAATTACATAATTTGTTTACTGATAAGCTGATCTCATTTTTAAAAATGTTTTAGGTCAAAATATCACTTACCGCAAAGAACCTAACGTTTGGGTCAAAAAAATCTCGTATCTATTTGGTTACAATGTAACTATGTTAACTAGGTTTTATATCATGATTTAGCAATTCAAAAATTAATTATGGCTATGAAAAATTTACGTTCATGTACTAATCCTATCTTTTTTTTTTGAAACACTTTTCTAATCCTATCTATCTAAGAACCTAACGTTTGGGTCAAAAAAATCTCGTATCTATTTGGTTACAATGTAACTATGTTAACTAGGTTTTATATTATGATTTAGCAATTCAAAAATTAATTATGGCTATGAAAAATTTACGTTCATGTACTAATCCTATCTTTTTTTTTTGAAACACTTTTCTAATCCTATCTATCTAATCCTAACAATGTAACTATGTTAACTAGGTTTTATATCATGATTTAGCAATTCAAAAATTAATTATGGCTATGAAAAATTTACGTTCATGTACTAATCCTATCTTTTTTTTTGAAACACTTTTTCAAACACTTTTCATGTACTAATTTACGTTCGTGTACTAATCCTATCTATCTTCAATATTTTTCTCTTTTTTGTCTTTTTTAATTTTGGTTATTACTCGATATAAATATTAATTTTGAAGTTTATTCTAATTTTTTTTATTTGTTTTGACCTAAGATTTAGATAATGTTTAAGATTTAAAATAATTAAAAGATACATACTTAAGATAAGATCTGCACTTTTTGCAGAATAGGTATTTTATATTTATTATTTATTTTATGTTTTTCTACATATTATGAAATAATAAAATAATAAGTATATATATTAAATAACTAAGAATCAGTTACTATTATGTAATAAATTGGCGTGTGGATATATAAATCTAACTATCGCTCTTGTTTATTCGCAATTAGGGTAAATAAATAAAATTAATCAATCTTATCTATCATATATGATATATAATGAAATTCAAATGATATTAACATAGATATATAGCATACTTTTAATATGTATATTTATTAAATGAAGTTCCTATTCATATGATTTTATGATTATTTGCATAGCAAAATTTTACACCAACAAAAATTTTTTTTAATGGAGATGTTTAGTAGTTTCAATAATTTAGAATCATTAAAAAAAAAATAGAATGACAGATTTTAAAATTAAAATATTAACTTTTTCAATATATGTTCAATGCAAATATCAAAATATTAGTATGTATTTTCATACGATGTATAGTTTAATTTAAACTATATGAAATATATATATATCAACATAAACCTAATAAAATAAAATTATTTCTTCATATGCTCGTATAATAATTGTATCTTAATATATAAAAAAATTAAACCTTGATCATAAAAGCTTATGTGAGACTTTTAACAGCTTTATTAATTTATACTCGTTTTAGAAAATTCGAAATACAACATACACAAAAAAGTCAAGATTTTTATTAATGATTAATGTAATTGTGTAATTTATTGTAATAATAAAAAAATGATAAAAAGTATACAGATTATTATCAAATATTTATTTTTTAAAATCATTAATTACCATATATATGTATATATATTTTAATCACATTATGTAATTTCGTAGGTTTTATTTCAGGTAAGCCTGCAGAACAATAAATATTGGATATATGCGACCAACTATAGTCTACAAAATATTATATTACTAGTGAATATAATTTTTAGACTATAGTTTATATAAAGTGCTCTAAAATCTTTCTAAACTAAATTAGAAGGCATAGTGAGCTGCCACGTAGGGTGAATACTTTTTTAATTAATACGAACTTAAAGTTACATCTTTTCAAATGTTTCTCAATTAATAGATAGAGGATTATGAAAAGTTTTTCACAATATAATTAT